AGTTGCTTTGATTTGCATTTCCCGGATGGCTAAGGATGTTGAGCACTTTCTCAAGTGCCTCTCAGCCATTTTAGACTCCTCTATTGAAAACTCTCTATTTAGTTCTGCAGCCCACTTCTTAATTGGGTCCTTTGCTGTTTTGGAGACTTGCTTCTTGAGTTCTTTGTAAATTTTGGAGATCAACCCTCTGTCAGATGTGGGATTAGTGAATATTTTTTCCCATTCTGTGGGCTGCCTTTTTGTCTTGCTGACTGTGTCCTTTGCCTTACAGAAGCTTCTCAGTTTCAGTAGGTCCCATTTATTAATTGTTGATCTCACTGTCTGTGCTACTGGTGTTATGTTCAGGAAGCTGTCTCCTGTACCAATTCGTTCAAGGGTACCACCCACTTTCTCTTCTAAGAGGTTCAGTGTGGCTGGATTTATGTTGAGGTCTTTGATCCATTTGGACTTAAGTTTTGTGCATGGCGATAAACATGGATCGATCCGCATTTTTCTACATGCCAGTCTCCAATTATGCCAGCACCATTTGTTGAAGATGCTTTCTTTATTCCATTGTATATTTTTAGCTTCTTTGTCAAAGATCAGATGTTCGTACGTGTGTGGGTTAATACCCGGATTTTCAATTCGATTCCATTGGTCTGCCTGTCTATTTTTGTGCCAATACCAAGCTGTTTTCAGGACTATAGCTCTATAATAGAGCTTGAGGTCAGGGATAGTGATGCCTCCGGACGTTGCCTTGTTGAACAGGGTTGTTTTGGCTATCCTGGGTCTTTTGTTTTTCCATACAAAATTGATTATTGTTCTTTCAAGGTCTGTGAAGAATTGTGCTGGGATTTTAATGGGGATAGCATTGAATCTGTAGATTGCTTTTGGCAGGATTGCCATTTTTACTACATTGATCCTACCTATCCAAGAGCATGGGAGATCTTTCCATTTTCTGAGGGCTTCTTTAATTTCTTTCTTTAAAGATTCAAAGTTCTTACGATACAGGTCTTTCACTTGTTTGGTTAGCGTTACCCCAAGGTATTTTATGTTGTTTGTGGCAATTGTAAAGGGTGATGTTTCTCTGATTTCTCTTTCAGCCCTTTTATCATCTGTATATAGTAGGGCTACTGACTTTCTTGAGTTGATCTTGTAACCTGCCACTTTGCTGAAGGTGTTAATCAGCTGTAAGAGTTCCCTGGTAGAGTTCTTTGGGTCATTGATGTAAACTATCATATCGTCTGCAAACAGTGAAAGTTTGACTTCTTCCTTCCCAATTTGTATCCCCTTGATCCCCCTTTGTTGTCGTATGGCTATAGCTAGAACTTCAAGTACCATGTTGAAAAGGTATGGAGAGAGTGGACAGCCTTGTTTTGTTCCTGATTTTAGAGGAATTGCGTTGAGTTTCTGTCCATTTAGTTTGATGTTGGCTGTTGGTTTACTGTATATGGCTTTTATTATGTTTAAGTATGTCCCTGTTATCCCAGATCTCTCCAAGACCTTTATCATGAAGGGGTGTTGGGTTTTGTCAAAGGCTTTTTCAGCATCTAGTGAGATGATCATGTGATTTTTGTTTTTCAGCTTGTTTATATGGTGGATTACGTTGATGGATTTTCGTATGTTGAACCATCCCTGCATCCCTGGGATGAAACCTACTTGATCGTGGTGAATGATTGTTTTGATGTGTTCTTGGATCCGATTTGCCAGTATTTTATTGAGTATTTTTGCATCAATGTTCATGAGGGATATTGGTCTGAAGTTCTCTTTCTTGGTTGTATCTTTGTGTGGCTTGGGGATCAAGGTTATTGAAGCCTCATAGAAAGAGTTTGGCAAAGACCCTTCTGCTTCTATTGTGTGGAACACTTTGAGAAGAATTGGTATAAGCTGTTCTTTGAATTTGTGGTAGAATTCTGCACTGAGACCATCTGGACCTGGACTTTTTTTGGTTGGGAATCTTTTGATGACAGCTTCTATTTCCATAGGGGTTATAGGTCTATTTAAATTGCTTATCTGTTCTTGATTTAGTTTTGGCAAATGATAGCTGTCCAGGAAGTCATCCATTTCCTTTAAATTTTCGAATTTTGTGGAGTACAGGTTTTCAAAGTATGACCTAATGATTCTCTGGATTTCCTCAGAGTCTGTTGTTATGTCCCCCTTTTCATTTCTGATTTTGTTAATTTGCGTGTTCACTCTCTGCTGTTTGGTAAGTTTGGACAAAGGTTTGTCTATCTTGTTGATTTTCTCAAAGAACCAACTCTTCGTTGCATTGATTCTTTGTATTGTTTTCCTGGTTTCTACTTTGTTGATTTCAGCCCTCAATTTGATTATTTCCTGGCGTCTACTCCTCCTGGGGGAGTTTGCTTCTTTGTGTTCTAGAGCTTTTAGCTGTGATGTTAATTCTCTGGTATAACTGTTTTCCTGTTTCTTCATGTGAGCACTTAGTGCTATGAACTTCCCCGTAGCACTGCTTTCAAAGTGTCCCATAGGTTTGGGTACTTGTTTGGTTAGCGTTACCCCCAGGTATTTTATGTTGTTTGTGGCAATTGTAAAGGGTGATGTTTCTCTGATTTCTTTTTCAGCCCTTTTATCATCTGTATATAGTAGGGCTACTGATTTTCTTGAGTTGATCTTGTAGCCTGCCACTTTGCTGAAGGTGTTAATCAGCTGTAAGAGTTCCCTGGTAGAGTTCTTTGGGTCATTGATGTAAACTATCATATCGTCTGCAAACAGTGAAAGTTTGACCTCTTCCTTCCCAATTTGTATCCCCTTGATCCCCCTTTGTTGTCGTATGGCAATAGCTAGAAATTCAAGTACCATGTTGAAAAGGTATGGAAAGAGTGGACAGCCTTGTTTTGTTCCTGATTTTAGAGGAATTGCATTGAGTTTCTGTCCATTTAGTTTGATGTTGGCTGTTGGTTTACTGTATATAGCTTTTATTATGTTTAAGTATGTCCCTGTTATCCCAGATCTCTCCAAGACCTTTATCATGAAGGGGTGTTGGATTTTGTCAGAGGCTTTTTCAGCATCTAGTGAGATGATCATGTGATTTTTGTTTTTCAGCTTGTTTATATGGTGGATTACGTTGATGGATTTTCGTATGTTGAACCATCCCTGCATCCCTGGGATGAAACCTACTTGATCGTGGTGAATGATTGTTTTGATGTGTTCTTGGATCCAATTTGCCAGTATTTTATTGAGTATTTTTGCATCAATGTTCATGAGGGATATTGGTCTGAAGTTCTCTTTCTTAGTTGTATCTTTGTGTGGCTTGGGGATCAAGGTTATTGAAGCCTCATAGAAAGAGTTTGGCAAAGACCCTTCTGCTTCTATTGTGTGGAACACTTTGAGAAGAATTGGTATAAGCTGTTCTTTGAATTTGTGGTAGAATTCTGCACTGAGGCCATCTGGACCTGGACTTTTTTTGGTTGGGAATCTTTTGATGGCTGCTTCTATTTCCATAGAGGTTATAGGTCTATTTAAATTGCTTATCTGTTCTTGATTTAGTTTTGGTAAGTGATAGCTATCCAGGAAGTCATCCATTTCCTTTAAATTTTTGAATTTTGTGGAGTACAGGTTTTCAAAGTATGATCTAATGATTCTCTGGATTTCCTCAGGGTCTGTTGTTAAGTCCCAACACACATTAGGTTGACATCCGTTGAACGCCTGATCTCTTCAAAAGAGAAATGGAGGAGGAGTGGATTTGAGGAAGAGATGAGTTATGGGAGTAATTTGAAAAAGTGGAGCAAAGGGAAAATGTAGTCTGATTCTAAACTTATGAGAGAAAAACAAATAGTAAGGAAGGAGGGAAGAAAGGAAGAAGGAAGGAAGAAAAGAACAAGAAGAAATAGAAGGAAGGAAGGAAACATGATTTCAGTGATGTGCTTTCAGCCCCAAACCAGAATCTCTTTCAGTGAGCTGACCATCTGAATTTTGGGAACACAGACTACCACCCCAGGTAAAGTGAATTAAGAAAGCTCTATTTACTCTGCACAGCAATGACTCTACAATATGAGATTTGAGAATACAGTGTGGCCTAACTCTTCATGCCCCCTTCTAGTGCAAAGTACAAATGGGAATTTTGTATCATCAGAATTTTGTAAGAGATTTATACAGAAACAGACTGCATATTAGGTTATTTGACAAATATTGTGGCACAATGTATCAAGGTTCCTTGACAGCACAGATAATCATGCTGGGGTAGAGAATACTTGGGAGTCAAACATGAGTTTTGTAGCAAAGGAAACAACTAATTCTGGCTTTATAACAAATTAGCTTTTTAGACCAATATGAACTCAGCCTGGTCCATCAGGATGCCCTTTCATGCCAAAGATCTCCATAATGGATTTCTTCCTTTTTTAACTTTAGTTTCATTTTCTCTGTGTAGACGTGGAAGTCCTAGAACTAGCCCTATAGGCCAGGCTGCCCTGGAACATCCAGAGATCTGCATGTCAGTGCTCATTTAGTGCTGGGTTGACATGTGGAGCTTTTCAAGCAAACTCTGATACAGAAACCACACCCAAACTCCCTTGCACTGATCTATCATGAAAGTTCTCTAGGCCCTGACACCCACATGGAGAGTAGACTGTCTGAAAATGTTCCACCGTCTGTTTTGTAGAGTCCCTACACCACACTTGATGGGAGATGCCATCTAATCTCTAAGGAATAACAAAATATCCTTGAACCTGCAGTTGTTGTTTACATTTGAAATGTGCAACTGTACATAAATAAATAAATAAGAAATATCTTTAACCTATAGTCTGTTTCTAAAGATTGAAAAAGTGAGGAGGCAACTAGCATTTAAGCAACCTTACAGTTCATATAAACATAAAATGTATAGGCTCAACAAAATATCTAACTAGTGGTAAAAACATTTTATGGAGCCGTGAGTCGTCTGTTGTGCAGCTACACTGCAGGTGAATAAATGTCCCATCTTAGCCTCTCCTCCTGGTGACACGAACACACTGGATTTTATCCTGTGTAAGCAATGAAACCAAACTCCTACTTTCCCATTCCTAAGCAGAGTCGACAAATCCAAGAATGTTCAATATTTATTTGCAATAATGCTGAAAAGAAAAGACTAACAAACAGTGTGAAGTAACAGAAAAATAGGTTCCAAAGCATTGTGACTCAAGAACCATGACAGAGAAAGTCCCTACAGCAGATTCCATGTAGCAAAAGCAATAGAAACATTTTCTACAAAACAGATAGAGAAGGCCATTTGAGGAGCACCCTGGTGGCTCAATGGAAATCCCGCATCGAAAGTCTATGAGTGCTAAGGTAGTCTCTGTCTTGCACAGAGTCCCCGAGTAACAGTAGAGGCTTCTGCAGGAATCCCCCAGGAACCCGGAAGCTTTGTGGAGTTTCACTCTTCCTAGGACCCTGGAAAGTTTTCTCCACGTCCAAGATGTCTTTCTTGGGCAGTCGGCAAGGCCAGGCAAGGACACAGAAGAAGGGTGAGACATCCGCACTTCCTGGGTTACAGGTCCAGGTCTCTTGCTTCAAGGGCCTGGTCAACTTGCCAATATGTCCACAGGAGCCCGAGACGGGTCGGTGAGTGAGGTGAGCACTAGTAAAGAAGCAGAGGCCTCCACTTTGGCTTGTTCTTCTTCTTGGATCTTGCCGTTCCTTCCTGACTGCAGAGTAAGGCAGGGTTCCTGGCTCTCTGAGCAGGCAGAAGCCTGGCAGAATCATGCCATGAGTAGTTCTCCTTGTCCAGCTCATTAGTGTCCAGGTCTTCTTTGCGTCTGGGCTGGTGGATCACAACTGCTTCGGCCGGCAGAGTGGGCCCAGTTTGCTTGAGGTTCAGCACTGTCTTGGGATGCTTTTTTGCCTGCAGCTCTTTCCACTCGTCTAAGGAGATTTCTTGGGTCACTACATTCTCCAGCTCTCTGACTGGCTCTGTGGATTCCACCCCGGATCTTCGGCTGTGTGTTTTCTGCCAGCCTTTCCTCACGTGAGCCTTGTTTGCCGTGCCTACTGGCCTGCAGACACTGTCCTCTCGGTTATCAGTCTCCTGGACATAGAAGAGCAGATAGGCCGGCTCATTCAGGACACAAGTCACGTCGCACCTGGTGACCCTAGAATCATCCATCTTGTACCACTTGCCGTCGCCAGCTCTGACATAGCAGAAATAATGTCCACTGTGGCAAGTCACACCAGTGTGGACCAGCACAGCATACAGGGCATACACCAACGGTCCTCTATTGGACTGAGACATGTAGGGCCGCAGGTCAAGGGACTCAGGGTACCTTACTTTCCTGTTCGTTTTGCCACCTGTGAAGTCTGAGAAGCGGTTCAACACCAGCACGAGAACCTTCGAGGCACTTTGAACTGTCAGGCTCTTCAAAGCTGGTGTCTTCCCCTGGCAATGGTCACAGTGGTAGGCGTTTTCCCCACACAGCTCTTCGGCCTTCACTAGACTCTCCAAGGCTTGGTTCACACTCTGGGCTGCATGGATATCTAGGGTGATGTCCAGGAACGGGCTAAAGGCATCTGAGGTGCCCTGGCACTGGAGACACTTGACCTGAGATCTCCACGAGCCTCCAAATATATCGTGGATTGGGGTGCTGTCCTCAGAGCGGTCTTCGCAGTGCTTGCTCCCTCCAAGGCAGGATTCGTGCATGGCGTTCAAGGTGAACATGAGAAACTCATGGGCATCTTCCTGCTTGTGCTTGTGGAAGGCACGAGTCAATTTGGTCGAGGGCTGCATGGCATCCGTGCAGTAGAGGAGACTCCGAGTCACGTGAGCTTCCAGAGCACACATTGTGCAGACATCCCGGTGGCAACAGCTCTGCGAGTGCTCCCGGGAGAGCAGGTAGTTGGCAAGAGGTGGCGTGTGTGTCAGACACTGCAAAGCTGAATTCACGTAGCAGCTGTTGCCTGTGTTCACAAGACCGGCACCCACGCCGAGGGGCCTCTCCCTGCTTGCACTGTACTTGCCCCTACCAGCCAGCTCTGCTGCCCCCTGAACTTTAGCCTGGTGGAGGTCTATGGCCACAGGAGCTGACAAGGCTGAATCTGCTGAGGGAAAAGAACACCATGAGACCTCAGATTCAGCAGTATGGCTTGAGGACTTGCAACCTGGCAAAGTCTTACAATGAGACTCACCTTCTGAGAGCAACTGAGCTGCCTCCATGTCTCCAGACGCCACTTCCAAACACCTTGCTGCAGGCTTCTCTGGGAGCAAGAGGATGCTTTTCTCTTCTGCAATGTATTCCAAGAGAGACCATGTGACAAATGCACAAGTTTTTATAGCTCAGTCCTATGGCTACACCCATAATCCCTGCCCCCAGCCTGGGCTCCTAATCCCCTACAAACTTCCAATTGGCTTATGCAAAACAGCAATAATATCTGATCTCTTCAGTCGCTGGCCATGACCCTAAGTGGCTTTAACTTGACTGTGTCTTGTAAAAACAAATTTCAAAATTCACATCAGATGACGAATGCAGGGTAGACCTGCCATACAAGTGTCTCCTTCCTGTTCTTAATCGCACCACCAAAAATAAAGGCAGGAGACCGGAAGTGTTTTAGGTAAAAGAAAGCAGCCTTCACCTCTGTGTACAGCAGATCAGATCCAGGGGCTGTGCCACCTTCCTCCCACCCATTGTTGGAGTACAAAGGCCATGATCTCCATTCATTCTAAGAAAATGCTATAAAACCATCTCTGTCGGTCTCTCTCTCTCTAGGTGTCTCTAATTCTCTCTCTCTCTCAGCGTCTCTCTCTCTCTGTCTCTGTCTCTCTACTTCTCTCTCAGTTCAGTGCTTAACAACCTGTTACCCTAGAAGATCCTAACTAATACAACTAACTCATATATTCCATAGAACACATGACTATTTCCAGGTTAAAACCTACTATGATGCCAACCAGTTGAGCTTGGGTCCCTGGTGACGCTCCCATCCTCTGCCCAACACCCATCCCCTCAATCATCCAGGGCAGCGCCTGGCATCCAGAAGACACGCACACACCGGAAAGACATACGCCCTTCCAGGCCCCAAACTCGGGTGATACCAGCTTCAGCTTCAGGAAGGAAGGAGAACAGTGGAGACAGAAAGTCCTCACCAGCACCCACTGGAAGAATAAGAGCTCACACAGCAATTCAAAAGTTCACAGTGACTCCACCAGCATCTAGAAACTAATGCCAGCAAGACCTGAAAAGCACTACATAGATGAAGCAGAGGAGACAGACCTTAAAAATCATTTTGTGAAAATGACAGGGACCGTCAAAGAAGAAATGAGGAAATCCCTTAAAGAAACAGAGGAAAAAACAAACAAACAAATCCATTAAATTGGGGAAAATTCAACAAATAAACAAATCTCTCAAAGAATCTAAAGAGTACCAAGAAAAAACAATGAAACAAATCAAGGAAACAAAGCAAACTGTTGAAGGATTGAAAACTGAAATAGAAACAATAAAGAAAACACTGAACAAGGGAATGCTAGAAATGGACACCTGAGAAAACGATCAGGAAATACAGATGCAAGTATCACCAATAGAATACAAGAAATAGAAGAGAGAATCTGAAGTGTTGAAGACTCATTAGACGATATACAGTCATCAACCAAAGAAAATCTCAAAACCAACAAATCCCTATCACAAAATATACAGAAAATATGGGACACCGTAGAAGAAGCCAAACATGAGAATAATAGGTATAGAAGATGGCAAAGAAATACAGCTCAAAGTTACAGAAAACATATTCACCAAAATCATAGAAGAAAACTTCCCTAACCTAAAGAAGGATTTGCCTAATGAAATACAAAAATCTTACAGAACACCTAATAAGCTGGATCAGAAAAAGAAGTCACCTCACCATATAATAATCAAAACATCAAACCTACAGAATAAAGAGAAAACATTAAGAGCAGCTAAAGAAAAAGACCAAGTAGCATATAAAGGCAGACCTATCCGAATTACACCTGACTTATCAATGGAAATGATAAAAGCCACAAGATCCTTGACAGATGTCTTACAAATCCTAGGGGAACAAGAATGCCAGCCAAGACTACAATATCCAGCAAAGCTTTCAGTCACCATACACGGAGAAAACAAAATACTCCATGACAAAGCCAGATTTAAAAAATACGTACCAATTAAACCAGCTCTACATAAAGTGCTGGAAGGAAAACCTAGACCCAACGAAGATAATGACACGCACAAAGACACAGGCAATATATAATACCACTTAACAAAACAGCAAAAGAAAAAGGGAGGCAAAACTACACAAGATATCTTTACTACCAAAAAATCAAGCACAAACAAGAGTCGTCGATCAAAGGTCATTGATATCCCTCAATGTCAACGGCCTCAACTTGCCTATAAAAAGACACAGAGTAGCATAATGGATATGAAGAGAGAACCCATCCTTCTGCATACAAGAAACACATCTCTACATCAAAGAAAGAAGGTATTTCAGAGTAAAGGGTTGGGAAAATATTTTCCAATCAAACGGACCCAAGAAACAAGCGGGTGTAGCAATCCTAATATGTAACAAACAAGACTTCAAATTAAAATCAATAAAAAGAGATGAAGAAGGATATTTCATATTCATCAAAGGAAAAGTCCATCAAGATGAAGTCTCAATTTTAAACATCTACACCCCAAATACAAAGGCACCAACACTTGTGTAAGACAAGCTATTTAAAAGTAAAATAATAAAAAAAGAAAAACAAAACAGCTAAGCCACCAGAGAGTTCTTACCTCTACAAAGTTTCAGTCCAAACTGGTGTGATTCAGTCCTCAGAATAACTGCTGACTACAAAGCTGTCAACCTAAATTCAGACTGCCCTGAGACTGCACTGTGATCCTTTCTTATACTCATCTCTAGTACTGGAATTAAAGGCGTTTCCTCACAAGTTCCAATCAAAGGTGTGAGCTCAGTTTCTCCTTGAGATTGATTGACTCTCTTGTAGTCAATGGGAATCAATCTACCAAAAGACCCAGCAATTCCACTCTTGGGCATATATCCAAAAGATGCAAATTCATACAACAAGGGCATCTGCTCCACTATGTGCATACCAGCATTATTTGTAATAGCCAGAAACTAGAAGCAACCTAGATGCCCCTCAACTGAACATTGGATAGAGAAAATGTGGTACATTTACACAATGGAGTATTACTCAGCAAAAAAATAAATGGAATCTTGACATTGGCAGGTAAATGGATAGCACTGGAAGAAACCATTCTGAGTGAGGTAACCCAGTCTCAAAAAGGCAAACATGGTATTTACTAACTCATATATGTATTTTAGACATGGATCAGGAGAGTGCCAGTCTGCAATTCCACTGAGAGAGAGAGTCTGGGAAACAGGAAAGAACCTAAAAGATATGCATGGTATCCAAGAGAAGAGAAATGAGGCATGATCCTCTGAATAGATGGGGAACACAGCTAGGAGTGTGAGGGAGAGCTGGTAAATAGACAGGGAGGAGAAGAGGTAGAGAGAGAAGGTCATGGTGGAAAAGGAAGGTTGACTTGGGGGTTAATATAGGGGGAAGAGAAAATCATAGGTTAGAAGACAGATCAGGCATCAGTGTGACCTCTAGTGATCTAAAGGGAGGATACCAAATGGCAAGCTACACATTAGTCTAGAGACCACCTCGAATGCCCATTCCTGATATTGAACTTGATGTCTATAAATGTCCTGGAGCCTTCATCCAGTGACTGATGTAATCAGAGGCAAACACCCACAGTTAAACACTGAACTGAACCCAAGAAATCCTGCGACAGAGAGAGAGGAGTGATGAGCAAATGGGCAAAAATGGGCTGGCAAAACCAGCAGATACAGCTGATCTGAACAGGGGAGAGCTCTTGGACCCCAGACCGAAAGCTGGGAGGCCAGCATGGGGCTGGTCCAGACCCCCAGAATGTGAGAGTCAGTGAGGAGTCCTGGGCACCCTATGGTGTCCTGAGCAGTGGATCAGTCTTTATCCCTCCAATACTAACAGACATCGTGTGTCCATAACAAAAGGGGGATGTCCTCTCAGCCTGAGACTCTTATGGGAGTGCCTGGACCCTACCCTGAGTGAAATGACAGATTCTAGATATAACAAAATGGAAGACATTGGCAATAGGATGGGAGGATGGGGGTTATGTAGGGGGTTCAGGAGGAGGGGAGGGAGAGGGAACTGGGATTGACATGTAAAACAAGATATTTAAAAGTAAAATAATAAAAAAGAAACACAAAACAGCTAAGCCACCAGAGAGTTCTTACCTCTACAAAGTTTCAGACCAAACTTGGGTGATTCAGTGCTCAGATTCAGTGCAGACTACAAAGCCCTCAACCTAACTTCAGACTGCCCTGAGACTGTACTGTGCTCCTTTCTTATACTCATCTCTAGTACTGGGATTAAAGGCATGTCACTACAAGTTCTAGTCAAAGGTAGTGTGAGCTCAGTTTTTCCCTTAGATTGATTGACTCTCATGTAGTCCAGGGTAGTCTTGAACTCAAAGAGATCCCAGATCCTCTATCTGACAATGTTGTGATTAAAGTTGTGGCTACAACTGCTGGTCCTCTCTGGCTAGTGTTTTCTTTCAGCATGAATTCAAATCAATATTGACTATTCTTGGAAGTGTCTTCTCTGCTTAGGAATGGCAAAGTAGGAATTTGATATCATTGCTTACACAGGAGACAAAATCCAGTGTGTTTTTTCTCCAGGAGGGGAGGAGAAGATGGGACATTTATTCACCGGCACTGCAGTTGCACAGCATATGACTCACAGCTCCAAAAAATGTTTTTTACCACTAATTAGAGATTTTGTTGAGCCTGCAAATCTTATATCAATATGAACTGTAAAGTTGCTGAAATGCTAGTCCCCCTCCCCACTTATATTCACTTAAGAAAGAGACTGTAGATTAAAATCTCTTTCTCTTTCAACCTCTTTCTGTCTTTCTTTCAAGGTAGACAATTTAACTGTAAACAACAACTGCAGGTTCAAGGACATATTGTTTTTTTCAGTAAGGACGTTCTAAATAATTAGAGATTGGATATCATCTCCCATCAAGTGTCTTCGAATGGACCCCATAAAACAGACTATGGAACTCTGTGTTCTCTATACATTTTCAGACAGCCTCCAGCTCCATGTGGGCTTCAGGTCCTAGAGAGCTCCAATGATAAACCATAGTGAGAGAGCTTGGGAGT